GCTTCTGGCCAAAAGCTGTTCCACATTTAAAGGATTTCTCTCCAATAAGGATTTTCTTGTGTTCAGTAAGATTTGACTTGCCACTAAAGGTTTTTCCACACTCCTTACGTACAAAGGGCTTCTCTCCCGTATGAGTTCTCTGGTGTCTGATGAGGTTTGACTTCTGAATAAATGCTTTCCCACAATCTTTACACTCAGAAGGTTTCTCTCCAATGTGAATTTTCTGATGGGTGAAGAGGCTTTCCTTCTGGTTAAAGGATTTCCAACATCCATTACATTCAGAAAGTTTTTCTCCAGTATGGGTGTTCTGCTGTTTAACGACATACTGCTTTTGGCTAAAGACTTTTCCACATTTGTTACATTCAAAAGGCTTCTGTCTAGGATGAAAATGCTCAGGTTCAGAGAGATTTGATTTGTGGCTGACGACTTTCCAAATACCTTATAGGCAAAGGGGCTTTCCCACTATAAATTATCTACTGACTGAGGTGTGACATCTGAACGGAAGTTTTCCCACATTCACAAGATTTCTCTCCAGTATAAAATTTTTGGTGAATGAGGATTTACTTTTGCCTGAAGATATTTCCACATTTCTTACATTTACAAGGCTTCTCTGTGTATTTCCTTTCAAATGCAGAGAAGGGATAAGATTGGAGAGAAAATCTTATATTCAGTACATTCAAAACTTTCTCTCCAGTATAATTTTTCTAATATTCAAGGAAGTTATGCTGCATTCACTGGTTTCTCTCCAGCATGAATTTTCTGCTGTTCAATGAGATCCATCAGCTAAGTAACAACGTTTAAGTATTCCTTAGAAGCACAGGGTTTCCCTTTAGCATGACTTGTACATTCAAGGAGAGGCGACATGTGAGTAAAAGTTTCCCCACATGCAGTAAATTCATAGGGTTTCTCTCTAGTATGAATGCTCTGGTAACAAATGGAGTACAAATTTTTTTAAACTGAAGGCACTTCCACACTGATTTATATTTAAAGGAGCTTAACACCATAAAGAGTAAGCTATGGTGGAAGAGTTCTAAACTAATTGATGATTCTTTTCTATACAACTTCCCTTATGGTTAAATCTAAATTGTGTTTCAGATTTAAAACTTCAAAGAGGTAGATATTAAAAGAAATAAAGTCTGAGATCGGAGGGAGTATTTTCCAGTTTTCTTATATTCAGTGCTTTCTTCCTCAGTCTAAACTCTACTGGAGATGGATGCAACTTGCCTCCCCAGTCTTCTTTCCTATTTGCTTATCATCTTCTCAGGCTTCTTCTTGACAGCTTTTCCATCCACTTGTCCTTTCTCCACCATACAGTTTATCTTCATGCTTCAACAGATGATCACATAACAACCGGCTGCTGGGGATATGACATAGCACTACAATGTTAATGCTGGGGCCCAAGTATCCTAGAATTCAGACTGAGCCCTGAGGCCTCCTGACCTTTTGAATGATGAGGAAATGCATTTTCCAAGGATACACAAGGAAGTGGCTGCTCGACTTTCACACCATGTGGACTCAGGGGTTGTACTGATCTATGGACAGTAACCAAAAAATCAGTTTATTTTCTTAAAACCTTTGGTAAAGGGGCCTTCTGAAGACTGTTGTGACTCTGTAATCTTGGTTTTTCTGTTATAGAATTAATTTCAAATATTCTCACTCATCAGCTGCATTAAATGACTTGTGCAACCGCATTAAGTTTTTTTCGTAAAACAAGTTACCAGTTCACAGTCAATTTACCATATATCTCTCTACCTTTATTCCTGTTAGCATTCTCACTCTGCCACCATGCTGCAAATCCCCTAACTGGTATCAATTTGGTTACTGGATTTTTTTGGATTCTGCCCCTACTGCTGAATTTTTGCTGGAGAAAATTATACCATCATACTTATATTTTCCTTTCAAGACAAGAGCAGGAGAGCAAAGTGGACTCTACTTTCCAGAAGCTGAGAGGCTATGTGAGGAGTACATGGGTAGATAGCACGGGGGTCATCTCCTCCCCACGAACACCCACATCTACAGTAAAAATACAAAGTTATATTTGGTGCAATTTGATTTGTTGTGGAAGCTAGTAAAGTGTGTCTTTGTCCTGAATTGCTTCAAGGTCAAAGATAGAAAAAAGATTAAATAAAGTAAGAGATTGTGGATAGAATGTTGGGTGTATCCAGGTTATGTATTAATTAGGAGCTTGAATCCAGGTTTGTCTTAGATTCTAAGGGACAAAGAGCCTCCAATAAGTAACTTATGGGTAACATAGATCTATATCTCTCCAAATTTATAGTTTTCAAAATTCCTTCAGTTCTCTGTGGACCTTCCATATGATTTGTATTAGTTTAGGTTTAACTCCCTGTTCCTTTTCCTTCTGTAATTCATTTCACACCTACACTTTTCCTCACATCCCACAACCTGATCTTCACTCCCATCTGCTGACAAATTGAGTCTATGAAAAGTAAATGCCTTCAAATTCCAGATCTTCTGCTTCACTACTGCAAGCCTAGACATTCATTCAGTTTCTCTACTCTCCTCATCTACTTTCTCCATGATTTGTTGTCTTTAATTACGCCCCCTCCCCTTTATGTTCAGTTTCTCCCTCTTGCAATAACAGACTATAAACTGCTCTAGTTTCTTATTCTTTGAAGGAGAACACTCTCAAATGCAAATACTCCCTTTACTACTGCTGTATGGCTCTCCTTAAAAAGTAATCTAGGCTAGGCTCGGTGGCTCAGCCGTAATCCCAGCACTTTGGGAGGCCAAGGCGAGGGAATTACCTGAGCCTGCGGGTTCAACACCAGTCCAGGCAACTTGGTGAGACCTCGTCTCTACAATAAATCAAAAATTAGCTGGGTATGGTACCATGTGCCTGTAGTTCAGGCTACTTGGAAGGCTTGAGGCGGAAGGATTGTGGGAGCCCACCAGGTCGACACTGGGGTGGCCATGAGCATGCCAGTGCACTACAGCCTCGGTGATGGAGTGAGACTCCAACTCAAAAAAAAAAAGTAATCTATATTTTCTCTATTTTTAAAAATTTTCTCAGGATATTGAAATTTGAACTCTGATTCAACGATCTTGATCTAAGTTTCTAAGCATATTTATAGAGAAACTAATATATATTAGTGACTTCCTACTTTTGTTTATTTTGTAAAAGAGGAAGTCTTTTTTGTTGTTGTTTGTTTTTTGTTTTGTTTTTTGTTTTGTTTTGTTTTTTGTTTTGAGTTGGAGTCTCACTCTGTCGCCCAGACTGGAGTGCAGTGGCCGCTCCTGGCCATCGCAGCCTCGATCTGCTGGGCTCTTG